TCTAGATCCCTATTTCTTAACTTTGGATCTGCCTCTTGTAGTGTGGCATGATGCCTTTTTACCACTGGGCTTCTTGGCAGTTGGACCTGCACTCAGGTATGGAGAGGCATGTGAAGGCTTTTCCAGAGGAAGGGGCAAACTGTCCTGTGACTTGGAACTGGGTGGAGCTAGGCCTTGAAGCTGTCCATAAAAGAAGTTCAGGAGGAGGGTTTAGACTTGTGGACTCTGAAAACTCTTATCTAGGACCCATTTCAAGTGAATTTTGGGTTGTACTTCCCTTCTGACATCCTCTTTTTAAAGTTTTATCAAAAATCGTACCCTGGCTCTATGCTGCCATGGATCAAAATGAATTAACCTAAATGTGAACTCCCTAGAATACAGTTGTTAAGAGACTTGGAGCCAGACACAGGAAACAAACTCCTGCTCCACTGCTTTTTAGCTGAAAAATCAGTTAGGAGGTAAATTAGTATAGGTGAGAGGTCACAAAAACCAGATGCAAGTAATGGAAATAGGAACGGAAAAACATGAACTAAAGGGAGCTTGATAGCTAATCATAAGTGGGATATAGGAGAATTTTTTAAATGGCCCTGAAATTTCCACTTGGGACTACTGAACAAATTGCCATCAACCAAAACATGAACTAAAAGAGGAAGGCCATGTGTTTAGCAAGGATGATAATAAAGTGATACAAGGGAATCAATGTTTATATCCCTCTCAATAATTCTCTAATAAATTCTCTATTATTCTCATAATAAATATGCATGGAAACTACTGAAGTGAGGTACTCTAAACATATACATCTATATTATCTATACACATACACACACATACACATGCTGTGACAAAGGTAAGGAAAGACACTATTTCAGTATGTGCATGCTTAACTTATGTGTATCATAAAAAATCAGGCTATGGAAGAGAAGAAGAATGCCACATGCATCTGATTTTTAATTATTATTTTCATAGATTCGGGGGGTATAAGTGCAGTTGTGTTACATGGATATATCGTGTAGTGGTGAAGTCTGGGCATTTAGTGTACCCGTCACCCAAATAGTGTACACCATACCCATCCCTCACCCTTCTCCCACCTCACCCTTCTCCCACCGTTTCACCTTTTGAAGTCACCAATGTCTATGATTCCACTCTATATGTCTATGTGTATCCATTGTTTAGCTTCTACTTAAAAGTGAGAACACAGGCATCAGATTTGATATGGGTCCTGATATTTAATTCAAAAAGAGAATCAAAGTAAATTACTCAGTTGTAGTTATTTAAAAGGAGAAAACTTATCCATTTCTTATGATTAGTATTTCTTCTAAGTGTCTAATCATTAATTATCTGAAATACTTAAAATACAGATAACTGACTCCTCTCCTGATGATTCTGATTTGGGGGGTCTGAAACAGGAGGAACCAGGAATCTATACATTTACAAGCATTAACAGGTGATTCTTTCTCATCATTAGCCAAGTTTGGAAAACCATAATTAAAGGCGAGGTTCCCAGAAGCCCTAGTGCCTCAGTAATTTTTTAATGGCACCTCAGGCCAAAATAAATACCCAACCTTTCTATTTATGAAATTGATAGATCCAAACTTGATATTTGTAGTTATTAATATGGTCCAACAGATGTCACTGTGTTTCCCTCAAAAAGTTAAACTATCCCACAGAACCCCTAGGAATTCCGAGGCACCCCAGGGCACTGAAGCACTGTTTACAAGCTACAGCCTAAAGGGATTTTTTTCTGGCATAGAATATAAGTAAAATCTCTGAATGGGTCTTCTATAAGATCATGAAACAAAGTGAACTTTGTGTTCCACAAATTCCATTGCTTTTAGTATCATTTGTTGTTGTTTTCATATGGTGTATGTGTGTGTGTGTGTGTGTGTGTGTATATATATATATATACAGAACAGGCATACCAAACATTTTTCTACAGAAGCAGAGAGCACATTTATTTTGTATGTGTGTGTTGCGGGGGGGAGGGGACATAGATTATCTTGATTGCATATTATTTTCTTATTAATTCTCTTGCAGCCTTTAAACATGTAAAAAACATTCTTATCTCCTGAATTTGACCTACAGGCTGCAGTTTGCCAATGACTACTGTAGTTTTAAAACCTAGAGTATAACATGAAAGTGCAATTCACTGAGGGTGATTCTGCACGATTGGAAGCCCTCAGTGTTTTTGTTTTCCTTTTTTCCCTTTTTGCTCCAGGGAAGACTACACAAGGAATACTGGAAGGGCCTACTGATTTCAAAACTACTGTAAACAGCGGGTGGCCATAGAATTTTCTTGCTCTAAATTGTTGACTTAAGGAGGATCTGCAAGTTATTCCAGTTTAATAAAGAATCCCTGTTGAATTTCCAAGAAAAGGAAATAGGGTATTGCACTAAGCCCTTTATCAATTATTTGCTGATTATGTGAATGGCTAATGAGATTTCACAATTATAACTAATCAGGCAATCCTTAGTTTATAATAGATTAATGTTTACAGAATATACCATTTGATGTTTCTAGGTTTTATTCCCAAAATTAGTGTGGCTGTCTTGAAATTATGCATTGTGCTTAGAACTTAGGATTTTACGTTGCTTTTTTATTTGTTTTGTTTTTTTGCTTTTTTGAGATGGAGTTTCGCTCGTGTTGCACAGGCTGGAGTGCAATGGCGCGATCTCGGCTCACTGCAACCTCCACCTCCCGGATTCAAGTGAGTCTCCTGCTTCAGCCTCCTGAGTAGCTGTGATTACAAGCGCCTGCCACCACGCCCGGCTAATTTTTTGTATTTTTCGTAGAGGTGGGGTTTCCCCACGTTGGCCAGGCTGTTTTCGACTTTAAGAATCCAGTATGACAAGTATGCACGTTCCTGTGCTAGTCATAAAAGAAATAAATATCACTGGCAATAGTGGTCTTGAGAAAAACTATGATATTTCTTGAGGAAACTCCAATCCATATTTAAAAAGAAAAAAAGGACAATTTTAAAAAAGTGTACCATATAGGTTCTTCCAAGTTACAATCTTACAGCCTTCACCAAAAAGATGTTTTGTCGACTAAAGCTTTCCTACAACTTTAAGTCATTACTTCTTTTGCAGGTTGTCATAAGAACCCTGAAATTACCGCTGAAAACATTTTATAAATTTATTCATCCATAGAGACTCCAATATTCTTCAAGTGCAGGGACAGTGTGTTTTGCTCACCATTTTATCCCCAAGCACACAGAATTGTGTCTACAGCCTATTAGGTGTTCAATAAATATTTGTGAACTTATTGATCAAAGACAAAACTACATTTAGTCAGAATCATCCAATGAAAAGCATTTTGCATTTGATGACTAGTAGACTTAGATGAACAGTTCCAGGGCCACCGCTAGTTTTCCTTGGGTCATTAGAAACATCCCTTTAGGGCTGCGGAGGGAAAATCCAATCTGACCGCTGCCCCTTTCCTTTCCGCGCGTTTGCCTCCAGTTCTGATGAAGGAGGAAGTGGAGGCGGAAGAGCAGTAGCGATTTTCTTAGCCATTTTCTTACCAACAGAGGCCAAAGGAAGCAGCAGTGCACTACACCGTGGGTTGTCTTTGCGAGGAAGTGGCATTGGGCAGAGATGCAGTTCAGCAAACTTATCATTGCAGCAATTTTGGAGCTGACTTTTCGACAGTGCAAGATCTAGAAATGTGTGCAAGACATGCGAAAAGAACCACCATTAACACTGAAGATGTGAAGCTCTTAGCCAGAAGGAGTAATTCACTGCTAAAATACATCACAGACAAAAGTGAAGAGCTTGCTCAGATTAACCTAGAACGAATGGCACAGAAGACAAAGAAGAAGATGCAAACAAAAATGCAAGGGAGCCAGCAGAGGCAGGAGTACAGGAAAGTTAAGAATTAAACTCTCCCGCTGCTTGGAAAATGCAGCTTTCTGCAGGTAGAGCCACCTAATATGTATATGGCCACAAAGCGAATTTTGAAGGGATAAATAGAGATTTTTTTTAAAAGGCTAGATGGCTTTTTGTGTTGTATTTTCCAAGTCGTTAACTGCAAACGCTGGTTTTAAAGAGAACTGGACACTCAAGCAAAATACTCCCATGTCTCACTACAGCATATGCAAATGGTTTAGTTGAATGGTATATCGGAAATTATCGCAATTAAAATTGTATGAGCAATTTGAAAGAAAAAGAAAAAAACATCTCTTTCATCTTTCAGAGTGTATTTCCTTATGTGTCAAACTGGAATATTTCTATCTGTCGCCAGCTCCCAGGGATGCTGCTAGAACCACGTGAGAGAGAGCGTTCACTTGCTCTACAAAAAGCGAAGGAAGCCGCAGTTACCAGCCCAGCCAACCCAGGCCGCTTAAGGCCAACTACTTGGGAACCTCCACGTCACCTCGATATATACGGGACCACCCGTAACCAGTGAACTACGGAATCCCTAACCTCGCATCACTTGGCGGCTGCCCCGCAGATGCCCTAGGCGCCCCGAGGAAAGGCCGTGCCGGGGGGGGGGGGGGGGGAGGGGGACTCGTGCCAGGCCGGCGGGCCGCCACAGACAGCGTTACCGGGAGCAACCGCTCAGGGGTGAGGCCGGAAGTCCCATCCGACCTCGCGGGCAGTCAGCGCTAGGCCGATTAGAACTCGACCTTGTTTTGGCGTTGCTAGGAGACGCGGCTCCTGCGCGCCCCCAACAGGCCGGCGCCTGGGCGGCGCGCGGGAGGGGGCGGGGACTGTCGCGTGGAGCTGCTGGGCTAGCACCGTTAGGGCAGCCTGGCGCGCGGCGCCCGCCAGGCGCCCAGTCCTCCGCCATCGCCCACGCCTCCCTGGTGCCAGGGAACAGGTATCAGCGCGCCTCCCCAGCGACTGGGAGAAACGCTGAGTGAAGCGAAGGAAGGACGGTTAGTCAGGTGAGCTGCGGCTGGGTGGGCGGCCGCGGCGGCCACACCCTGTCGAGGGAGAAGAGCCGATTGTGTGCGGAGGAGCAGGGTGAAGGGATCCCGCTCCGGGGAGGGTGGGCTTACCCTAGCGGGCGCGCCAGGTCTCATCTCTATCACCTCAGGGGCCCGCGCGGTCACAGCCGGCACCCTCGGGCGTGCGGACAAAGGGTTAACGCGTTGGCGGTGACTGCGGGCCCCGGATGTGAGAGCCTCAGTTTAGCGCCCTGGCTGCGCTGCAGGTGCGCCGGGCCGAACGGAGCCGGCAGCCTGGCGGCGACCTGACCGCCCGAGGCTCCCCTTCACCTGCAGCGGCTGCTCGGCTCCCTCCGAGAACGCCGCCTTTTCTAACTTAAGGGCAACAGGTGGTGCCGGTGGACCGAGAGAGAGCCCAGCTCCGCCGTGCTGGGAGCGGCAGTTACACTCACCAATTACGGAGCGGGGGCGGGAGTTGCATGGCTACCCTGATGCGGGTGACCAATGGGATTTGGGATCATGGGTGGACCGGGAGGAGTGGGCGTGGTCGGAGTCTGAGTCCAAGGTTTCTAGTGCGATAACTGCCAGAGCTGCTTGGAGAGCTAAGCTGGAAAGACGTGGGGTTGCTTATCCCTGCGTGGAAACGCTTGCCAATGCTTTCTCATTTGGACCCAGACTCCGGATCGGGAGGTGAGAACGTTGTTATTTTGGAAGGGGTAGGAGGTAATAGTGATCTTGGGTATGCTGTTAAGCATGTGGAATTAGATTCCCAAGATAGGACTGTCTGCTTATGAGTTTTCTGCCAAATAGGCACTTTGTGGTTATGGCCACTTAGACCACATACTGTTAACTGAGTTCTTTCCAGAATGAGGTCTTTAAGGTTTGGGGGCCCAGGAGAAAAACGTACATATTACTGCAAGTTAAGTAAACCAGATAATTTCAATCACTGTTATTCCATCGTTTGTCTTGAATTGTGTGTGTTTTCATGTACGTTTCATATCTTGTCTGGTTTAGCGAAGCAAGTTGTTGTAAAAGTTGTTGTAAGTTCTTCGTGTTGTTTATTTTAGCAAAGTAGAGAAAACCTGTTTTAATGTATTATTTCAGGAGAATAACTTATTATTTTCTTCCCTCTCCCAGCAGTCTTATAGCTGAATCAGCTACCAAGAGAAGTTCTAAAGCAAGAAGAGAAAAGCACTTCAATTTGGGACATTTATTTGCACCTGGAAATGGGGAATGGGCTATCAGACCAGACTTCTATCCTGTCCAACCTGCCTTCATTTCAGTCCTTCCACATTGTTATTCTGGGTTTGGACTGTGCTGGAAAGACAACTGTCTTATACAGGCTGCAGTTCAATGAATTTGTAAATACCGTACCTACCAAAGGATTTAACACTGAGAAAATTAAGGTAACCTTGGGAAATTCTAAAACAGTCACGTTTCACTTCTGGGATGTAGGTGGTCAGGAGAAGTTAAGGCCACTGTGGAAGTCATATACCAGATGCACAGATGGCATTGTATTTGTTGTGGACTCTGTTGATGTCGAAAGGATGGAGGAAGCCAAAACTGAACTTCACAAAATAACTAGGATATCAGAAAATCAAGGAGTCCCTGTACTTATAGTTGCTAACAAACAAGACTTGAGGAACTCATTGTCTCTTTCAGAAATTGAGAAATTGTTAGCAATGGGTGAACTGAGCTCATCAACTCCTTGGCATTTGCAGCCTACCTGTGCAATCATAGGAGATGGCCTAAAGGAAGGACTTGAGAAACTACATGATATGATCATTAAAAGAAGAAAAATGTTGCGGCAACAGAAAAAGAAAAGATGAATATCAATACCTATTATATCTGTGTGGAGTAGGTTTTCTCTGGTCTGATTTTGACAAATAGAAGAGTGTCTACAACCTGGTTTGCCTGTCTGCCCTCCTGGATGCTATTAAAGCTTTGTTTTGTTGAACAATCAGATGCCCAACTCTGTTGCCTTGTGGAAGATGAGTAAATGCAGTGCTTCTTAAAGTGGTCTCTTCTCCCTACCCCACAAATCTTTTGGTACTAGCATTTGGGGAAGCCAAGCAAGGATAGGAAATTGACCAGAACACAGTTGTGGAAATTTGGCCTGAAGTTAGTGAAATAAAACTTTCAAGAGTGTCTGCCTAGTGTTTTGTGCTTATATCTTTTTGCGGGGGAAGCCTTTGCAAGAAAACTGCATACAAGGCTTTGTAATGATCAAGTGCTAATCGATGCAAATGTTAAGGTAGATTAACATATATGCAGTTATACTGATCACATTGGTCCAACCAGTCCTTTTTTGAAGTAAGGAACAAGGAGTATTTTTTAAGTTTTGGCCAAATGATTTTTGACGCTTTCTGGAATCAAGTAATTTGATGGTATAGCTTAATTCTAGACAATGTTTAAGTTGGTCTGCCTTTAATAAAAATAAGATATTTGGGGTGTATTCAAGTGCATGGATTAGTTTTCCTGACAAAGCATGTTTTGGTGTGTAGTCTTACTTTTTAGAAATAGCTATGCATCGTTCTACACAGGTTTAAAACAACTTTTTGGGGGATTTAGGGCTATTATAGAAATAGTTTGTTGTCAGAAGCACTTTCTCTTGAAGAACCTAAAATAATTGACTCATTCATAGTAAATATGGGCATGTAAACTAATAAATATGCACTGGATACATATATGGATTTATGAAGAAGGAAATTAATGATTTAGTCAAGAGGATGTAATTAAAATATGTGGTCTCTAAAATATTCCAGTTATGAGATATTTGTTTTATTAATATTTGCTGGCTGAAAACAAATGTGGTTTTTATATATTTTTGTAGTGTGTTGGGAAGAGCAAAAGCTTTATAAATATACCTGATGCGCTGTAGAATGAAAATGTAAAAGATGCGCTGTAGAATGAAAATGTAAAAGATACCCTGTATGTGTTCTGAGCTTTAATTTTTTGTTTACAAATTGAACAGTATTACATGGGTTGTCCAGTCCTGATTATAGAGAGGAAGAAATGGTAACAGTATGGCAGATAAGAATTACAGTTATAGAAAATGAGGGGAAAGTAACAAACCTGTTTTATGGAAATTCACTGGTGCTGTTTACATTGGATAAAAAGCTCTATAAGGAGGAAAGACCTTTATCTAATTCTTATCTACAGATAGAGACTTACTTCCAGTGACCATATATTACTAAATCAGCTTATTTTTTATGTCTAAAGCAACAGCTGTTGGTTCTGAAAAATCACTGAAAGAAATGCATTTTAAAAGCTAGCAGGGTTTTTTTTGCTTTTTTTTTTTTTTTTTTTTTTTTTTGTGGCATAACTGAGTGTTTGGAACTTTGATTCTTGTGTCACACAAAATGAATGAAGTAGCTTCATGTGGAGACTTCATATGTTAAATATTCCTGCACTAGTGATGGTCACTTAGAATGTTTATAAAATGTGGATAATTACTACCAATAAACTACTTGAGGCACTAGGAGAACAGTATTAGATTTTGAATTTTAATGTATTTCCACTTTTGCTGAAGCTTTTAATTAGATGTGAAATAACAACTGACCAGCTAGGCTGTTTAGTCCCATAGTAGTATAGATCTGCTTAGATGTGACAGGCATCGAAGGCTATTTTCTTTTTTTTTTTTTTTCTCCCTTCACTGGTAATGAAATCATGGTATCTGCTGCAAACATGAGTAGATCCATGATGGATTAATAAAGCTTGCTGGAAAAAAAAAATCAGTGTATCAATTAGATTTTTCAGTTTGCCTGTACTTTCTGTCTACCTACTATATAAAATAGTGCTGTTTTTAACTATTTCAAAAGCTTGTGTGTTGACCCTTTGTAGCCTACGAACGTAAGCAAATTAATGTTATCTAAGTTTTTCATATTTAATGGGCAAAAACAAAGACAAAATGGCATGAACACTGTACAAACTTTGATTTATAGAAGACAATTTCAGCTATAAAACCCATCATAACATTTTCTTGCGTGCTAAGTTCAAGTTCCCTACGCCCTATTCTAGTTATTAGCACCATAGGATAATGAGTCTTTAAATCCTGAAGAGTTTAGACTATGCTTTTTTATATCTAGTTTTCTATTATGGCGCACCTTTTCTAGTGCATATTTCTAAAATATTTTCTTGTATTTGAAGTTACTTGGTTTAATACAAAATATTAAGGACTGCTCAACTGAATCCAAATTAATATCAAAGAACAAAGTTTAAGAAAAAACCTTTTGATAAAGATAATTAGTTTTAAAAATGTGCAGAGTTCTTAAAATGGTTTATAAATGGTGTTCTTAAACCATCAGAAGTTTACTAAGACTTAATCATGGAAAAATGAATTAAATATAGGGAGACAAAATGAAGTTATTAATATATATATAAGAAAAATTACTAGTCTGTAAATAAATGATGGTTTATGAACAGAGGGAAAGGCATAGACTTTGTTTGTACAAGGCAATTTTTTTTTCTTTTTGAGACGGAGTCTTGCTCTCTTGTCCAGGCTGTAGTGTGGTGGCACAATCTTAGCTCACTACAACCTCTGCCTCCTGTGTTCAAGTGATTCTCCTGTCTTAGCTTCCCAAGCAGCTGAGATTACAGGTACACCATCAAGCCCAGCTAATTTTTATTTTTAGTAGAGGGAGTTTCACCATGTTGGCCAGGCTGTTCTCGAACTCCTGACCTCAGGTGATCCTCCTGCCTCAGCCTCCCAAAGTGCTGGGATTACAGAAATTAGCCACCATGCCCAGCCTGTACAAGGCATTTGACACAAGGATTGTTCCATTAATAATTCATGGTGACGTTGAAGGAAATCTTTGGTATTTCAAGGTTCTATTTAACATAACAATTTCCTCTGTAATGTAAACAGTGATTTCATCAGCGATAATAAAGATGCAAAAAAAATGTTTTATCAAACTTTAGATGATGTAAAACAGCATTCAGCTGATGCAATTGAGAATCTTGAGTACACCATCGTTTGAAGCTGGAATTTTACCTTTAAGGTCTAAATTTGGCAGAACATTCTGGAAATAGATCCTGGTGTTATGGAATACTAGAGTGTCTAAGCCTTAATATGAACCAATATAAGGTGCCAATGCAGAATCATAATGTTAATATTAAAATCTATGAAGATCAGAAGTAATAGTCTCAACAAACCATAGCCAGAGTATGTATCCAATTCTGTTCATGCATATTAAAAATATGGG